TGCAGAGAAGCTTTAGCCCTTCTGACCCTGCAGTTATCAGTACTCAGACGCTGTGGGGCTGGAGGAGTGGAGCCCCAGGCCACAGGACCCAGGTACATCACCCACAGAGGAGCCTAATTCTTGAGGAGGAGGGTGAGTGGTGTCAGCGGAGCTGGGAGGACCCATGTGGGTTAGCTCCAGGGAGTGTGTGCCTGTGGTGGGGGGAGGCGAGTGTCCAGGGGACACCTGGGCTCCTCTCTGTGCCGTGGAGGATACATCGTAGGCGAGAACCCTGTGCACACCTGACTCCTATAAGCAAGCACTGTAACCCATGGTGTCCTGCCACTTTGTGGGGGGAAAAGAATCCTAGCCAACGGTTTCTCTTAAATTTTTAAGAATATTTTACCAGGTTCCTGTCTTTTACTACAGGACACTTCCTTGACAACTTTGGAGTTATCAGGCTTGTTGGTGTGATCGGAAAACCTGAACGGTTAGTACCTGCTGTTTTCTTTAAAGTCCTGGTTTGTAGAAAGTTACCAGGCAAATTACACAGAGATGTCTAATAGAACCGTGCTGTTCCAGGGCTCGTCCCCTTCAGGGTCCGCACCTTCAGGACAGCGATGTCAGGCCGAGCCAGGACCCGAGCCCGAGGCAGAACCCGTGGTCAGACGCCCTCCCAACCCGTGCCACCTGAAGCCACTGTGCCACCTGGAACCACAGCGCCGCTAGTAAGCTCAGCTCTGTTCAGTCTCCTTTATGCAAAAGATGCTTTAATTCCTTTACTGCTTCCTTCTCATGTGTTTTCACATATGCACATGGACTTCCATCTGACCTGAGTGGATGGGAAGGTTTCTGAATAGCTTGGCCCCAGCCAATGACTCCTCCTGGGGAGTGACTTCAAAACAAGCAGCTGATTCTCCACAGATCTTCCCACACTCCTGATGTGCTCTCCCAGAAAGGTCCCACTCCCTTTGTTTGAAGAAGCCCCATTCTTCCCGTTGCTGGGGCCAAAGTCTTTGGATCCATTGTGGACTCCTCTCAAATCCTTCACATAAATAACCAGGAAATACTGTTGTCTCCCAATTAAAAAAAAAAAAAAAATCTGGTATCTGATAATTTCTCATCACCTCTGTTACCACCTTCTGGTCCAAACCACCAGCATCCCTAGGTTTGGGTGGTGGCTTCTTAACTGGTTGTCTTGCTTTCCCCCTGGTCTTTCCCTCCATGTTTCCCAGCACAGAACCAGATAAACTGGTCCATGCAGCTCCTCTTCCCAGCGCCCTCCCCTTTATGCATTCCTGTTTCCTTAGTCAGAGGCACATCGTTCAAAATGGCTTCTGCCCCACCACCTCTCTGACATCTGCTTCTCTCCCCCTTGCTCCCCTCACTCCAGCCGCAGTGGCCATTTTGTCCTTCCTTGAACATTTCTGCCTTAGAATTTTTACTCTTTTCCCTCTACCTGTGGCTTGTGTGATCTTGTAACTCTCCTCCTTCAACTCTTTGATTCTGTCTCAACTTTGTGCTGAGGCTTGCTTCATCCCCCATTAACTTAACCCGTCCCCTTCACACTCCACCTTCCCAACAACACCCACTTTTGTCTACTTTGCTTTGTTCTATTTTTCTTCATTTCCCAGGCACTTAACATGCGAATGCTATGCAAATCATTATTTTTATTTTCCATCACTGGCATGAGAACCTTTACAAGGGAACTTGCTTCATGCCCGGACACTGCCTGGCACGTGGCAGGCAAATAATTTTTGGATGATGAACAAATATCGTTAACAGCATCCTTTAGGACTCTTCCCCCAAAACCAGCAGGCTCAGCAAGCTGGCCAAATTCTGCCTAGCCCCCAGCCACTGCAAGTGAGGAGCCAAGTGGTTCAGCCTGCACAAGGAAGAAGACCAAGAAGAGCACCTCAGGCTCCAGGTAAAAAAGAGAGGGATACGGTGGGGGACAGAGGATGTCTAATCCATGAGGGTGCACCGCAGTGACAACATTCCAGGTAGAGAACTGCAGGATCCCCATAGGGTTTGTCAGGATGGGACTGGAATACAGTCCACAAGTATTTTTCCTTTCTGCAATGAATTAATCGGTCAGCATTTTAGTGCCCCTGTATTTAAGGTTTTTGGAAAAGAAATGGAGATTGATGACCATCAGTCTAGCCAATGGTTTGATATAATTGTTTTTCAGATTTAGACCATGCGTTTGTATATAATGACTCCAGGTTAACTAAGAATTCTGGGAACATGATTGCATTTGTAAATCACTGCCCTGGGAGGTTGAGTCGCTCCTTGAGCACCTCAACATTCCCCTGCCTTGTATTATCCTCCTAGGTGGAAGGCTATCGTGATACAGGTGAGCACAAAGTCTCCTGTATTAGCCAAGGATTTGGCTAATACAATAAGACCTCAGATATGATGCTCTGATTTGCTCTTATTTATATAAGTGTGTGTGTGTGTGTGTGTGTGTGTGTGTGTGTTTAAGAGCATAAATGTGAGTTGTGAGTGGAAGGGGGAAAAGGAGAGAGCATCTTAAGCTGGCTCAATCTCACAACCAGGAGATCCTGACCTGAGCCAAATCAAGAGTTGAACACTCAATGGACTGAGCCATCCAGGCACCCCATTAAGTTTGAAATTGTCATTAATTACGGTGAGAATAGATAACATGTATCTATCCTTTAACGCAGTTCTAAGTGTATGATAGATACAGTACTGTTAACTGTAGGCACAATGTTGAATAGTAGATCTCTAGAACGTATCTGGCATAAGGGAGACTTTATACCTGTTGACTAACAACTCCCCATTACTCCTCCACTCCACCCCTGAACGCCAACCACCATCCTACTTTCTGCTTCTAGGAGTTTGATTACTGTAGATATCTCCTATCAGTGGAATTTTGCAGTTATGCAGTATTTGTCCTTCTAGAACTGGCTTATTTCACTTAGCATGATGTCCTCAAGGTCATGGTTCTTGCACATTGTAGGATTTTCCTCTTTTTTAATTTTTAAGGCTGAATAATATTCTACTGTATGGATATACCACATTAGCTTTACCCATTCGTTCCTTGGAGGGCTTTTAGGTTGTTTACAGGGCTTGGCTATTTTTAATACTGCTGCAGTGAACACAGGAGTGTTAATATCTCTTTGAGATTATGATTTCAGTACTTCTGTAAGAATCCCCCAGAAGTGGGATTGCTGGATTATACGGTGGTTCTACTTTTAAGTGTTTTGAGGAACTCTATACTGTTTTCCATAGCAGCTATACCATTTTTTGTTTTCTCAAAGTGTTTAAATTTCTCCACATCTTCATCAGCACTTGCTGTTTTATTGGATTTTTTCATATATATTTTGTATACATATCCACACGCACGTGTTTTCACACGCACGTGTTTTCACACGCACGTGTTTTCACACGCACGTGTTTTCACACGCACGTGTTTTCACACGCACGTGTTTTCACATGCACGTGTTTCCATATATATAAGTATATATGTGTGTGTATACATATATATACATATATATAAAATAACCATACTTACAGATGGGAAGTGATAGCTCATTGTGGTTTTGTTTTGTTTTTTAAAGATTTTTTGTTTGTTTATTTATTTGACAGAGATCACAAGTAGGCAGAGAGGCAGACAGAGAGAGAGGGGGAAGCAGGCTCCCTGTTGAGCAGAGAGCCCGATGTGGGGCTTGATTCCATGACCCTGGGATCATGACCTGAGCCGAAGGCAGAGGCTTAACCCACTGAGCCACCCAGGCACCCCTCATTGTGGTTTTGATTTGCAATTTCCTGATGATTTATTGATGACTTTGAACATCTTTTCATATACCTGTTGTCTATTTATGTTTTCTTTAGAGAAATGTCCACTCAGGTCCTTTCTCAATTTAAAATAATTGGGTTATTACGTTTTTTTCACTCTTGAGTTTCAGGAGTTCCTTATATTTTGGAAATTAACACCTTATGAGGTACATGGTTTGCAAATGTCTTTTCCCATTCCTTAAGTGCCTTTCATTCTGTTGACTGATTCATTTGTTGTACAGAAGCTTTTTCTGTTTGAATTCCCACTTGTCCATTTTTGCTTCTGCTGTCTCTGCTTTTGGAGTCTTATGTTGTAGATATTTTTATAATAAATGATACAAACTCCAGACTCCATGAAATGAAGTTGTAAATGTGAATGCAAAATAGTAAAATACCTGTTTTTATCATCTATATCCTGTCTGAAGAGTTATGACTAATGCTTCACGTAAAGTACATTATATGTAGCAAGTACTAATGAACGATGCTAAATGTTTTCTTTCACTGAAATTTGAATGTGGTAAGTTTGATTGCTGGAGGTGTCTGGAATTAGCTGAGTTTGATCAAAAGCATTTTAAAAATTTATATGTAAAATGAAATTTAATAGCTTTTCTATTATAGAAATTCAGACTCTGGTATAAGAGCTTCATAAATGAGGAATAATAGCTTCCAGAAGGAACATTCTGAAAAGAATCGGGTTTTGTAGCCCAGAATGGGGACTATATTAGCCATTCAGAGGTATATGGATAATATAGGTTTCTTTCACAATATTTGAAAGACTGCTTTGCACTGTCCTCCAAATATTAACCTTGTAAAATATTTAAACCTGTATTCATATTACTATGGGATAAAAAAAATAGAGCTTTTCCCAGTTGTTCTGTAGGAAAAGCATTTCATATATATATATATGTATATTTTTAAGATTTTATTTATTTGACAGAGAGAGAGGGACACACAATGAGAGAGGGAACACAAGCAGGGGGAGTGAGAGAGGGAGAAGCGGGCTTCCTGCTTAGCAGGGCGCCCAGTGCAGGGCTTGATCCCAGGACCCTGCCGAACGCAGATGATTAATGACTAAGCCACCAACGTGCCCCAGATTTTTTTTTTTTTTTAAGAGCCTGTTCAGTCAGCATTTTCTGATGTCTATGGGAGGGCTGTGTGGTGACAGGTGATTGGCATATAAAGTCAGTAGAGAAGAGACAAAGTTTCTGGACAAGTGCCGGATGAAGGCAAAAGGTACAGCACTGATGTATGTGAGAGGCTGGGCCAGCCACTGATGTGGAGTGGGGTCTTGCTGGGAGAGGCTTCTGGGACACAGTCTCCCTTTCTGGTGACCCATGACTGAAATTCATGTTTGGATCCTTTGACAATCCTCTTTCCTACCTCCAGTGACCTTGACTTAGTTTGACTTCACAGCTGGGGTTTAACAATGTCCTGTTTGACTTTCCCCCCTTTTTTTAATCCTCTAAAATTCATGGCTTTCACATTTGTTTCCATGTAGAGGAAACTCAGCTGGTGGCTACAGTCCAGGCAGTGTCATTGAAGGAGAGAAACCATTTTGGGGGCATCTTTCGAGACCATGTGGTGGATACCCGACAGTACTTGGACCACGTGAGAGAGTCCACGGCAGGTGTGGCGGTCATTAACAACCCAGCATTAGGGAACTGTCCCTGTTAGATGTGTGCTGGGGTGCTTGTGTGTGTCTCAGGGTGCGTATAAAGTTTCAGCCCATCGCTGTGAGAGCAGGTACCCTCCTCCCTGTTCTCGTTGTCATCCTAGCACCCATTTCTGCAGAAACAAAGACCTGTTTTAGCGTCCCAGATGGACTCTTTGTTTCTCTCTTTTCCTTTTAGAGCCACTAAGTTAGAATGACCCAGCTCTTTGGATCCACTGAGACTTTTTATCTTAATTAAGCATTATTATGATGTTTACATTATTACATTAGGACTCCCCACTCACCCTCCCCACCCCTTTTGGGAAACCTTGTGTTAGAGATTTTTTTTATTGTTATTGTTAAAGATTTTAATCTTCTATGATAACGCTCAACGTACGCTTATGTAGGATGCACCTGCATGGATGGTACGTGTTCTGGAACAGCAGGTGTAGTGTTTGTGTGGTGGTTGACGTCCTTGTTTGGCCTAAATTTGGCTCATGGTATCAGGGTGTCCACATTGTTTTGGGTGCAGTTGGTCAGCTTGTTTCCTGTTTAACACATGGCACCATTTTGCAGGCACACAGGGTAGACCTGTGAAGCTATTTGCAAACCATTTCCGAGTGACATCTCGCCCCCAGCAGATCACCTATAAATACAACATTGACTACATGCCAGACATCGAGGACAGACAAGTTCGTTCAGAACTGCTTCTGCAGCATAAAGCGATAATTGGAAAGTGTTATATATTTGATGGAACTTCTTTGTTATTACCTCACAAACTACGATCACCGGTTAAGTACTGTTATTGGACATTTTCACTTTTTTTAAAGATTTTATTTGGTGGGGTGGGGAGAGAGAGAGAGAGTGAATGCAGAGGCAGAGGGAGAAAGAGAGGGAGAAGCAGACTCCCCAATGAGCAGAGAGTCCAACACGGGGCTCAATCCCAGCCCCATGAGATCATGACCCGAGCCAAAGGTGGACACTTAACCAACTGAGCCACTCAGGGACCCCAGATACTTTCTGGACATTTGTTCTTTCTCCCACATTTTTACTGTATTAGAGCAAATATACTATTTCTGTACAATGGTTTGAGGAGAACTCCTGAAGGTCTCTTGTGCATAGGGCTTGTAAGAAAACCCACATGCCATGTGTGTTTATCACGATGTTCCCTTGTGCCTCATTTCAGCACTTACAATGAATCTGAGAGCAATATATACATATAATTTTTTAACCTTTTCAGTGGCAAATATGCCTCAAATGCTGATGAATTATTGAATAATTTAGTCTTTATCTCTTGCTCTCTCTAAAACTTCAGCAAAAAAAGTTTTAGAACCTAATATTTTTTTCAATAAACTTCCATATTTACCAAGTGACTAATACACAGGAACTTGTTTTTTTGTTTGTTTGTCTGTCTTTTTAAGGAGCTATAAATGTTTAATTCTGACTCCTCACTTTGGTCTCATAGATCCTATCTTCCTGCACGTGTCTCTGGGGGCAAGATGGCTCCCACCATGTTCATGTGTTGGATACCCAAGTGACACGTTGATTTGTGGTCCAATAATGAGCTTTCTATCCTTGGGAAGACTGCTGGACTTTTTTGTTTGTTTTTCCTTCTCTCAGAAAATGGAATTGGTCAGCCTGCTGAAAAAACAGGTTGTGAAGGTGACCCTTGAATTCACCAGCGAACTCATGCCCTCCTCACCAGACTGTTTACGTTATTACAACATTCTCTTTAGAAGGTTTGTTTGTAGGATTTGGTTTCCTTGAGATCTGGTTGTGTGTTAGTGTGTCAGTGGCATGGAACATAGATGTTTGCTCCTAGAGTTTTGTGCTCTCGACACCTCCTTGTTCTGGGAAAACAAAGGATCTTGGAGATGAAATGGCACCTGAACCTCACCTAGACATGTTTAAGTTCTGTAGCTTATCCTCCATATTGTTCTCCCTGCCTACTGCCACATCCCATGGCTGGCTCCTGTCTAGAAGGAGGAATGGACATCAACTAGGCACATCTACGTGTGTTTCTCCCTGGAGCAAATGCACTTGTTTTCTACCTTCATAGTGATGGACAAAAGTTCAAAATAAAAATCAGAGGCCCTTAGTCTGCAAAAGCTGTTTTGGCTCATTTCTAGGAACGGAGGACATTCTAATGGCCTTTTCATGACAGTCAGTTGTATATTATGGAAAGCAGGAAAAAAAGAGGTTAAATGAGCCTGAATATATCTACCTCACCATGTAATTTACTTGTACCAGGCACTTCCGTTAATTATTGGTAGACCAAGTCACTGGCAGATTTTTACCCCCCTACAGTATCTTCTTGTGTGTTGCTAAATGCTTACTAATATTTGTGGCACTTTTAACAAAATCTGTTCTTCCAATTTCTAGAATTTTGAAGATGATGGAGTTGGAGCAAGTTGGTCGCAACTATTACAACAAACGTGAGGCCATGGAGTTCCGTGATCACAAGTTGGTATCAAGTAGAAAGTTTCACATAATGTTTATAATTTATATAAACCTATATCCTATAGATTCTCAAATGTGTGTGTGTATGTGTGTGTGTGTGCACGTGTGTGTATGTGAGAGAGAGAGAGGGAGGAAGGGAGAAAGAGCACCTGTGGGTGGTGATAAAAATGGTTTAACAAAGATAATATAACTGGCTCATCAGGTAAATACCTATTGGAAAGATCCTTTGAAAGACCATTTCTTACTTGACTCCTAAGCACCAATTTTAGACCCTGACTGCCAGCCCTGTGACACTTCTATGTTTGGAGCTAGGAGTTTGATATTCACATCTAATGTGTTCCATTTGCAGGCTGGTCATCTGGCCTGGATATGTTACTTCTATTCTTGAGTATGAAACCAGCATTACCCTCTGTGCTGACGTGAACCATAAACTGTTCCGAATGCAAACAGCCTATGATTTAATATCGGATATTCGTGATGGCTTCCCCACAAAGCAAGAGCTTCAGGAGCAAGTTTCTAAACAACTAGTCGGATCAGTTGTTTCTACAATGTAAGTCTGCATCCCATCACTTTCATAACTTCTCTTTGCCCCATAAGAGGTGTTCCTATAGATTTCAGATCAATCAGGGTTACATTTCAGAAGCAGACCTGGCATAGCAATGGCCAGAACCACTCCATGCTTTTTCTCATCTGGCTCTATAGCACGAGAGAAGAATATGTGTTGGGTATAGACTTTGCTGTTCTTGAATTCCTAATGCCAATCCAGTCCTCTGCTCTGAACCCTCTCTTGTGATAACAGAATATGTTCCTTCTTCTTTTCTTCTTTTATTTTGCTTTGTGTTTATTAAAAATCAGGGCTTAATTAAAATCCATGAGCAAGTTTCTCCTTGGAGGAAGTTTTTTTTTTTTTAAATTTTTATTCTCCCTTTAGACCAGATACTTTAAATTGAGAAAAGTGTGGATTTAACATTGCTTAGGCAATATTGTAAGAGTAAAGTCAAGGACTCCTGCTTCCCAATTTCAAAACTTACTATAAAGCTCTAGTAATAAAAAAAAAAAAAGGGGGGGGCATGAGGACAGATGTAAAAATTGATGGAATAGAATTGAGAGTCCCAGGGTTAACCCTTACATTGATAGTTCATTTTCAACAAGAGTGTCAAGACCGTTTAATTAAGGAAGGAATACTCTTTTTAGCAAATATTGCTGGGACCACTGGATATCCACCTGGCCTTTCCTGACACAATATACAACATTAACTCCAATTTAACTCCAAAATTAACTCAAAATTGACTTAAATGTAGGAGTTAAAAGTATGAAATTCTTATAAAAAAACTATAGTAGGAGTATATCTTCTTGACTTTGGGTGGGGCAAAATCTTCTAGGATGCCAAGAGAGAATGGATGATAGAAGAAAACTACAAATTGGACTTCATCAAATTAAAAATGTCCATTCTTTGAAGTCAGAAGTGAAAAACAATGGACAGAATGAGAGAAAACAATTGCAAATCACCTATCTCATAAATAACTTGCATCTATATATATAGAGAACACGTACAAGTCAATTTAAAAGACAACCCAACTTTTAAAAAATGGGCAAAGGATCTGAATAGACATTTCTCTGAAGTCAATATACAATGACCAATAATCACAGGAAACAATACTAACATTATTAGCTAATTATGCACTTATTAGGGAGGTGCAAAGTCAAACCACACTGAAATGCAACTTCATACCCACTAGGATGGCTAAATGTGAGATCGTATGGCCTCTTTGGAAAGCAGTATGGCACTTTCTCAACAAGCTAAATATAGTGTGACCATATAGCAATTCTATTCCTGGTTGTATACCCAAGAAAAAGGAAAGCCTATGTCTACCAAAATTGGTACATGAATGGCCAGAGCATCCTCATTCATAATAGTTCAAAAGTGTAAACAACTTGAATGTTTGTTAAGTGATAAATGGATACATAAATGCAGTATATTTATGAAATGATATATTATTTGGCAATAAAAGTGAACTGCCAGAACACACTATGGCAGGGATAGACCTTGAAAGACATTATGCTAAGTGGAGGAAGGCAGTAAGGAAGGGTCACATGTTGTATGATACAATTCATGTGAAATTGGACGGGTAGGCAAACGTATAGGGACAGACCCTAAACTAGTGGTTGCCTAAGGACTGGGGGAGTTTAGTGGAAATGAGGAGTGACAGTCGTGGTTGTGGTAGTTCTTTGGGTTGTGTTCAAAGGTGTACAACTTGGTGAACATAGTAAGAATAACAAATGTTATAATATATATATATATATATAAAAAATAAGGGGGATATATCTTGTAATTACTCGTAAGATTTAAAGCCTCTTATTTCTTGCATGATCCCATGCAATGAATGCGTTAGGAATAAAACCATATGTTGTGACTATTCCACAGGTATAACAACAAAACCTATAGGGTGGACGCTATTAATTGGGAGGAAACTCCCAGAACTACATTTAAAACCTCAGATGGTGCTGAAATCACCTTTGTAGAATACTATAAAATGGTAGGAAGTCTTTCTTTCAGTGTATCTTTTTTTCTTATTCAAATATATCTCCCAATAATACATGTAAACTTATAGTCACGTGTTACATCATAATAGGTCATAATCTTATGTATAATAAATACATATTACAGAATTTCTCCTTGGGCTTATTACAATTTGACTTATACCTATTTTCCATGTGTTAGAGTGCCTTGTATATAGGGTAATGTATAACTAGAATGGCTCCAATACAGTAAGTTTTAGAAGTGGCTATGGTAGTTCACTCATGCTGGCATCACAGAGCAGTAGGTTTGGGACATTTTGAAAGAGCATTTCTATGAAAGCAAACTACCTTCTTGGCATGTGTTGATAGGAGGAGCCTTAGATGTAAAAGAAACATAAGACCATGGTTTCAGCAGGTTTGCTTTAGCAAAACAGATGGGCTGAAGTAATTAAAATGTTGGGTAGCCTTGGGGTGCCCTGGTGAGAACTCAGTCTACTAACAGATGGCAGTGTAGTTGTCGTGTTATCATGAGATCTAGAAAAATCCCAGAATCCATAGTGGAGCCCTTAGAAGGAAAGTACATTCCTGGCTTTCAAAAAAGTTTTCATAATAATGCAAAGTGGGACCGCAGAATTCCTTTGAAGATGCAGAAGTTAATGTTGCAGGAGATCCTTCTAGAATGTCACAGGACAGCTATGAGAAATAAGTAGTGTGTTTCCTGAAGTTCTCAACAGGAAGAATAGCTTGTACAAAGACTCAGCTAGACTGGGTGGTAAGAGTGGTGGTTGAGGCCCTAAAATGACCCTATGATCCTGCACATTTGTACATACATCTCCCTGTACAAGCTCCTGCCTTACTTAAGACTCTAGCACCAAGAGACATGGGGTGAATCTCCGCTTCCTTTCAAATAACTACTTTAAGGAAAAAAATATACATGGTCTGCAACAAGATCATGAGAATTAAAAGTAATATTTCAGCTCAAGAGGAAAAGAGCCATGAACACTGGATTTGAAGTCTTGTCTCAGGTAGGAACTCCTTTGATGTTCTCAAGATGCTTAATAGGCAGATCACACAGAATTCATGTGGCTCACTGATTAGAGGAGGACCTCAGTGCTCAGCATGAATGGATCTATGACAAATCATCACTTTGTGTTGGAGAGTAAGGGCACTTTTTTGTACAGGAATTGGAGCCTAGGAATAAGACCTTCTGGATAGGATGTCTTGGCCATTGCCTTTTCCTGATGGAAGAGTTTAGGGGAAATGATGTTGGAGGCATGTTTGGCATAGCTGTAGTAGTAGTCACTCTAAAAAGTGACCAGGTTTGTCGTCCCCCATCCGTTTGGCAATCCTCTTGAAATTTCTCAATTATGTGTTAAGAATTTTTAAGACAGTCATGTAGTGAGAGATATATATCCCAAGAGTTAGTCCCACATCTACCTATATGAAGTCAAAGAAGGCTATTACAATGACCCCAATATAATGTTTGTGGTCCCGCTTCTCCTCAGCCTTGTGTGCTTATTGGGGAAAAAAAAAGAAAGAGGCCATCCCTGGGACATCTCAAGGGAACATGAAAAATATCTTTGATATGTCCTTAAACCTGGGGAAACTGGGTCCCCAGGACACCCCTGGGCCTCTGTTGGTGATCCAAAAATGAGCTGTTGTACCTATTTATGTGATTTACTGGGGTTTAGATGGTAGTCATGCCAGTGTTCTTTCTTACCCCTTCTGAGCAGCGGTATAATCAAGTGGTCACGGAACTGAATCAGCCGCTCTTGATCAGCAAAGGCAAATGGAAGAAGAGCAAACAGGACATGCCCCGTGAGCCTATACTGCTGGTTCCCCAGCTATGCAACCTGACAGGTACTGTGCATTTACCTGGTCTTCCTGGAAGACCACCCCTTTCAAGCCCCAGATGCTATGATCTAGAGGTACATGCTTTCCATAGTCCTCCAGGTGACCCAGAGCTGTTTTCTCCATTGGCTCTTCCTCCTCCAGATAAAGCCACTGAGGCTTCTCCCATATAGATCTATTTTTACTTGTTGAGCAATATTTTTTACTCTTTTTTAAAGGTCTAACAGATGAGCTGTGTAAAAATTATAGAGTGATGAGAGACTTGGTTCTCCATATGAGGTTGGATCCAGAAAAAAGGCAGCACGAGTTACGAAAATTGATGAATACTATACAGACGTAAGTGCTGATTTTGTGTGTGTGTGTGTGTGTGTGTGTGTGTGTGTCCTGAAGTCAGGACATGTGCAGAACTCTTGGCATCTCAGATTCTCCAACTAAAAAAACAGGTCAAAAAGAAAGTGAGCTCTTGGGGGAACAACTCTATTTGTTCTGTCAGTGCAAAGTTAGGGGAGGTCTGGAGGGGGAAAATTAACTAGAAAGATCCTGAGCGCAAATGTGAGAGCAAAATGTGATTTCAGAGTACTAGGGACCTTGTTTGCAACGTGTCAGTACAGAGGACAAACAACAGGGCATCTTTAGGTTAGAGGAGAATTTTGCAAATGGATCATTGCTTTTGCTTATTTCCTTGAAGGAGGTTTGATCCTGTGGAAACATTTTAACTTTCAGAAATAAGGAGATCCAACGGGAACTTCAACTCTGGGATTTGAAATTTGATGCCAGCTTCTTGTCCTTCTCAGGAAGAATCTTGAAAGAAGTAAGAATTTTTCAAGGAAGACGAGTGGTAAGACCATTTCAAGATGGTTGTGTTTTAGTTATTAATTTTGTCATTTGGGGTCAAATGAATAATAATGCAGAGGAACTAGCTCAGGCCAATAACTCTCTGCTCTCTCTTCTTGGGCTACCTGTCTTTTGTCTAGGAGACAGCAAGCAGATGTTCAATTAAAATTCATAGAGCATCCTTGGCATAGAGTAAACTCTGTATTTTATCTCTGTTAGTGTTGTGGTCCTCTCTCATGGCAAAACTATCTTCCAAAGCTTTCCTTAGGAGTTAGTTACCTAGAATCAAGACAATCCAGAATAATCCATATTAGAATTCCAGCATCACTTACTTCTACCTTAAGGCAAAAATAGGTAATTAAGTCATGACTGAAGTTTAAACTAATAACCTTGCAATGGGAAGTAGCACAGGTTTGCAATGGAAAGGCTCTTCAATATCAGCAAAGGCATTATCTATATCTATATATTATATACATTATATATATTATATATGTGTAATATATAGTCTTATAAATTATTAAATCTTTTACATATATATAATATAAATAAAAAATTTTAAATGAAGTCTTATCCTATCTCTTGCAGTTTGACTCCCACCCACAATTTGCAGATTGGACAAAAGAGACAAGAAGTGGACCCTTACTCAATGTCAAGTCACTAGATCATTGGCTAATACTCTATCCTACAGGATACTACAGAACAGCCTCATCCTTTCTGCAGAGTCTACAGAGAGTCACACCCACCATGGGCATAGCTATGAAAGAGGCAAAAATGTAAGTCGACTACCTCCGATTTTAAAAACCAGTCATTAGCTACCTGAAAGTGGAATCAGAAGATACTAAATTCTAGGGGTGCCTGGGTAGCTCAGTGGGTTAAGGCCTCTGCCTTCAGCTCAGGTCATGATCTCAGAGTCCTGGGATCGAGTCCTGCATCAGGCTCTCTGCTCAGCAGGAAACCTGCTTCTTCCTCCTCTCTCTCTCTGCCTGCGTCTCTGCCTACTACAGTATCATTGTCTGTCAAATAAATAAATAAATAAAATCTTAAAAAAAGAAGATACTAAATTCTAGGACTCAGTCACTTTAATCGAAACACTGAAAGGTTATAAGCAAAGAAGTCTAGCCTATTCCAGTAACAGATAGTAAAAATAGGCTTTTGTGATGTATTATTTGTGGCTATCAGGATACATACTAAGGAAGCCAAAAATTGAACTTATTTTTGTCTAAAGAGCAAACTTTTGGGATGCCTGGGTGGCTCAGTGAGTTAAACGTCCAATTCTTGGTTTCTGCTCAGGTTGGGCTCTGTGCCCAGTGGGGAGTCTGCTTAAGATTCTCTTTCTCTCTCTCTGCTCCTCCCCCAATGTGTACATGGGCTGGCTCTCCCTCTCTCTAATGAATAAGTAAGTCTTTACAAAAGCCTTTCAACTGAAGTAACTGTCTTAACGTGGTATTTTGTTTTGTTTTATATTGTGCTTCATTGGCAGCATAAAATGCTTGTTACATGTTTATTGTTCATTGCCTTTTGAGTATAGAGGTCCTATACTTATTTTCTTTCTTTTTCTTCTTTTTTCTAGGCTTGAAGTAAGTCATTCAGTCCAATCCTATACAACCACCTTAGAAAACCACGTGTCCTCCAAAACACAGATGGTAAGTGTCTATGTGACAGTGGCTTCATGTCTTGATATGTAGTGTTACAAATCACATCTGTTCAGTTTCGAGTAGTAGACACTCAAAATCTGTCTCAAGAACCCTGTCCTTGGCAGGGTCTTGTCTCCAATTCCTGTCCTGTTCTCTCTTGGAGGCTGTCAGTCTGTTCATGGTCTCCAACCTTTCAGACATCCCCCTCTGGGGGTTAGGCAGGTGCTCTGGGTCCCTACTTCTCTCCTGTCTTAACCCTGTAAACCCTTCATGACCTTGGTAGACTGGCTGAGCCCCAGAGAGGCACAGTCCTGTATTTTCATCAGCTTAAATAGCTCTTCTTAGGAGGAGACCAGCCCATGCTATTCCAGAAGCTGAATCTGTAGGGGACGACATTAGCTGACTGCTCGCAGAAAACTCAGACATCCTTATGTAAAAAAATAGAATCTAGAAGATGTTGCATCTGTCTCTAAAAGGTTGACTTACTGACCTACTAAAATATACATAAATATATAAAAGGAGGGAGGGATGGGTGTGTGTGTGTGTGTGTGTGTGTGTGTGTGCGTGCTGTGTGTTGGTTTGTGTGTAATCTGTACCCAAAAGGTGAGGTGCTTTAAAAAAAAAAAAAAAGCATATCTCTAAGTTAATTTAGGCTTCATCTTTAAAGGATCTCAACGGGCATGGAGAAATCCTAAACCAATAATGAAGGACTGATACCTACCCATCAAATCAAACACACACACATTGACCACAGTCCATTACAATTAGAAATCATTAAACCACATACATTCAGAAACCAAAGAATTACTTGTAAGTAGCAACTGTATTAGAACCATATCAATAGAAAATTTATTTTTTAAAAGATTTTATTTATTTGACAGAGATCAATAGAAAATTTAGAAACTATTTTAGACCTTATAAGTAGTCTGCATCGAAATCTGTTTAAAACAGCAAGCTAAAAAATAATGACAGGGGCCCTCTGGCCCTTGATCAGTGCATTAGGAAGGAAGTCTGAATGTTAATGCACTAAGTGCAGAGTGAGACAAAATAAAGTAGAACAAAAGAACAAAAACAGAAACTAAACAGAGAACAACACACATAAAGCCAAAAATATTAAAACTTGATGTTGTCAAGAGTGAAGAAGAGAGTCTAACAGAGGCTTGACAGCATTAAGGACAAGGAGAGTTCATGATTAACAGACAAAATGGAGGTTAAAGAAATGTTAGGACAACACCAGGGGTGCCAGCAAGTCTGAAAACTGGCAATCTAGTCTTTAGAAAAAGAAGAAATGAACTGGTTAGTGTGATGAATTTTAGGAAACATAATTGCAGATAAAATGTAAGCAAAATGTGTATAATGCATTTGATAGAATTCCACATTTCTTGTGAAAAGACAAAGTCACTTCATCTGGAATGAGAAAAGAATGTCCCTAATCTGATTGAGGATATCTACCCCCAGAAAGTCTTCCTAGAAACATCATTGTTAAAAATAATACTTTTTATAACATAATACATTATATATAAATGTTATACATATGATAATGCATACATGTTAAAAATGCTACACGGAGGATTTTCCCATCATAGTATGAACCCAGCCAGGTGGTAACTGCTCTTCCTCATGGCTCTGTGTCCTGCTAGAGGTCCCAGCGAGTGTTGGAAACTTTGTCTGCTGCCTGTACAGCAGCCAGTTCCCCTGACTCCTGGGCTTGTTTCGTTAGGGGTAAAATGGGGATAGTATTGATCTCAGTAGGTTATTGAAGAATGAGCAAATGCCCCTCGCATAGTGTCCATCCTGGACGCTAGGACGGTTCTGACAACGGTAGATGTCAGTCTGTACTTTTTAACCGTCCCGTGTTAAGTTCATGATAAACTCCCAGAAACCAAATAACCAGGACGTAAGGACTTTGCAAGTTCAAGTGAGGATACTGTCTGTGCCTGGCTCCCAGACTTTCTTCTTCTACATGGTCCCCTTCACAACTGTTTCATGGACTGGGATTCCAGACCTCTTACCCTCATGGACCAGCTATTGATTGAATGGATAGATTCTACTTACTCAGTGCTCCACCTACACAGGCATCCTGTTCTCCTATCATTGTGGTTGTGTACTGGACAGTCTCATTTTTGCTTTCTTCCAAGGTTGTTTGCGTGTTGTCCAGTGAAAAGAAAGAGCTGTATGATAGCATAAAACAATACCTGTGTGTCAGTTGCCCAATCCCAAGCCAGTGTGTCCTCGCACGGACCTTAGACAAACCCCAGACGCTGCTGACCATTGCGACAAAGATTGCCCAGCAGATGAACTGCAAGATGGGAGGAGCCCTCTGGAAGGTGGAGACAGGAGTACGTTGGATTTTGTTGCCTTCTCTTTATTTCAGTTGTGTTCAGTGGAATTGGTTAAGACTCTACCTATCTTGCAAATGTAATTGCTTAATTTTGTTCCTATTGTGTTCTAACTCCATGTGCTACCTATTTAAAAAATTTCAGTTGCAGAATGCGATGTTCATTGGTATCGACTGTTTCCACGATACTGTAAATCGGCAGAAGTCGATTGCAGGCTTTGTGTCCAGCATCAATCAGGAATTGACACAGTGAGTGGACTTCAGCAGACATTGTGTATATGACAGCTAGCTGTAGACCAAAGGGGACATGTGGACCCAACTCATGTTTTTTGACAAGGTCCATGGACAAGGTGTTCTCCTCCTCTTCTGGCAAAGTTATGCTCCCAAAACATTTGATGTGGAGGGCTTTATTTCGTTTTTCCATTGCTGCTTACCAAATGATGAGAAATATGGAGGCTTAAGGGGCCATTCGTGTGTCCCTACGCAGGTCTGTTGGGCAGAAATCTGGCACCATGTGGCTCTTGGGTGGGCCACAGGTTCGGCAAGCCACATTCTCCTCTGGAGGCTTGGGGTCCTCTTCCAAGTGTACATATGTGTGGTAGAATCCACTTTCTTTGGGGGGGGTAGATGGAGGACAGAGGTCCTCAATTCCCAGACCCATCTCAGCTCCTTGAGTTTCATCCACATTCCTTCTCGAAAGCCCTGTTCTCCCCAAGGGCACACTGAGTCTTTATTCTTCTTCAAATCTCTTCCTCTTCTGCCACCAGAGAAAACTCTCTGCTTTTCAAGGGACCCATGAGATTAGATAAGGTCCATCTGGAAAATCTCCTTATAAAGCCAACCATGCCATAAGACATAATTACAGGGCAATGGGATAGTCACAGGTTCTGAGCATTAGGACAGGTAGAATTCTGCCCACCAGAGGCTCTAATGATCACTGAGTCCCTGCATGGGGACCGGGAACACAGAGGGAAGAACTCAGGCCCCCCAAGGGGAAGACAGGTGTAGGAATATGACCAGCAGACTCTAGGTACAGGATCTGGTCTTCATACATCTATGTGACCTGCCAAAGAAGACATACTTCCATATCCCATGTTTCTCCTTTGCTCCAGGGACACTTCTGTTGTCTGTGCTTAGAGTAGAACCTGCCTTCAAATGAGTTTACACACTCTTCAGTTTATAGTTTCTTGAGCATTAGGACCTGTATAACCATCACACATGCTATTCTTACTGATGAGTGTAGCCTACTAAGTATAATTCCAGAATATTCTTTAAGGAGGATCCATCTTTATTTTCACAAATAGCATCATTTTTTTCCCCAGTCCTGTTCTATTTTGGCATAGTAACATTGGTTTGCTTTTTGTTTGGGGGGGTGCGCAGGTAGAAAAGAACATTGCAACAATGGGAAGGAAATTAAGCTTTCATTCAGTTCCTAGGTATTTTGGAGCCCTTGCTATATTCAAATGCTGAGAACAGAGCAGTGAAAATGTTTCACCCAAAAGCATGATCTCTCATGGAGTGTGCATTCTGGAAAAGAAGCAGGGAAACACCTTATGTCAGGTCATCATGATACCTGAAGTAACTAAAATAGAGAGGATAGAGACTTGAGAGAAACATTGCTCGATCTGTGGGGAAGTGGTCAAGTAGCTATTACTGTTCCAAAGCAGATGGCTCCCTCAAAGCAGATTATGGATGAGCCATTGTTTAAGACATGAGGCTCAAAGCAGGGATCTCCAGGAAGGCTGGCTGTTAATTTTGTGGTGTCCCCAGTGGGTGAGACAGCAGTGGGTGAGACAGCAGTAGTCTTGCACAGTGAAAGTGTGCATAATTCAGAGCAATGTTAATGAATACTTCCATTCCAAATTCCTCTTTGTGTGCATTCCCAATTTTAATAGGCACCTTGGTGTATAGGAAGAGATTAGTGCTTCAGTCTCTGCAGGGGAATCAGAGAATCGATCCTTAATGGGATCCTCAGCTACCTATAAGGATTTTTCTTCTTTCCTGGAGGTCCCAGATAACTCAGAATCAAAATGATGACATTTTCAGAGTCTTGTTTCCCAAACCGATGGCTGATATTTCTCCAAACAGGTGGTTCTCTCAGTGCATCTTCCAGGAATCGGGACAGGAGCTTGTGAATGGGCTGAAAGCCTGCTTGGAAGGTCAGTGTCTTCATCAAGGTTGGAGTCTCTGACTTGATACCAGTCGTTGTCCCCCAAGAGACCTTGGCAATGACTAAAGACACTCTTGGCTGTCAAGGTTGGGATGGTGGAAGTATTACTGCATCCAATTGATGGCTAGAGACCAGCATGCTACAGAAGACAGCAACACCCTTACCACCACCACCACGGACAATTATCTGGCTCAAAATTTCAATAGTGGGGCTGGTGAGAAATGCTGGGCTAGCCTGAAGACCTAAACAGCGTGACAGTGTCCTGGAGGCTACAGAGTTGGAAAAATGACCCTAGAACTTGTTACAAATAGCAGCAGTCAGTTGGTTCTGAGTTACAGCTTATTTACCCAAGTTTCTGGTTTTCTTCCAGCCGCCCTGAAGCTCTGGTGTAAACATAACCTGTTTCTGCCACAAGCTATCATTGTGTACCGGGATGGAGTGGGGGATGGTCAGCTTCAAGCATTGCTGGACCATGAAGTACCACAGATTGAGTCTTCCTTAAAATCTGTATATCCTAAAGACTCTGGGTATATAAATTGTAAAGTGAAGATTTTGTAAACTCTACATTTCAGTCTTTGAAACAAATCTGTAGCAATTATGACATGTGAATTAAGAGAGCAAGAGCACGACAGAGAGGGCCTCAGTCATTAGGTGGGGAGAAGATAGACGACCCTTCATTCTTAGACTTTCTGCTCCACACCCAAGTCAGAGGACAGAACAGAACTGGAACATTCCAGATTGCATTCTCCCCATGGAATCCCTAAAAACCTGTCCTTTTTTCCTAATCTCTCTGCAAGCCTTGATGTAACGGGTGCTTGTTAACCTCTGATATTCATTAAAATCCAAGAACACAGCCTGGTGATGGTTTGTGTTTATGTAACTCTTATTCTGAAGTTTTGTAGGTCCCAGGCCTGGGGATCTCTCTCAGCTCTCGCCTCTGGCCTCCTCTGTTTGTTGGTGGAGCCTGGTACCCACCATGGATAGGAATGGTTATGACCTTGTAAGGAAGTTCCTCCCCCTACAATGTGGGTGGCTGAGAAGAGAAACCTCTTTCGCTGCTTAAGCCTGGGCACAGGGGGCTAGGACAGTAAGGTTGGGGTGTGGGGAGAACTGCCTCTTCTGTAGATTCTTAATGGATCCTGTGTTGTGGTTTCAGTACTCTGAATGCCTCTGTATAAGAGAGTACAGGTGGTACTTTCTTTTCAAGGGTCAAACTTACTTTCATCGTGGTGAAGAAACGAATAAACACCAGATTTTTTGTGGAGTCCGAAGGAAGACTTCGAAACCCACTTCCAGGAACAGTTATTGATGTGGAGGTGACCAAGAGGCAATGGTAAGACCCCCCTTTTATTTGTTTAAATAAACGTTCTCTTTTACTCAAACAGAAATAGAGGAGGTGTGTGCGTGTGTGCGTGTGCGTGTGTGTGTGTGTACGTTTCCAGTATTGTGTGTGTGTGTGTGTGTGTTCAAGGTTTGCCTGGTTTGGAGGATAACAGATTGACTTAAAGTTGGTTGAAAATTACATGAATGGATAAACATGGGATTCTAGACATTTGTCTTCCTTTTTCTTCTCCTAGAATTTACAGCATGTACCATAAACATACTGATATTCCTGGGTTGTTGGAAAGAATGGTTGAACTTCTGATTAGGCAGAGATTTGTCAATTGTGCAAATGAGAGAATTATGTACAACACAGGATGGGAAATGAAACAAGACTTTCCTACAAGTCGACAGGGAGAAATGAAAGAAAATGAAGGAAAGACAAACACTGATCAATCTAGTAGGAGGCGGGAAAGGGCTAAAGAAAAAAGCAAGTGGGAAAGTATGATCCGTAAAAAGCATAACATAATGCACTTGAGACTAAGTCCTGTATCTACAAGAAGCTGATGGGCCTTGCCATTTCTATCATTAGGGGGTTTGAATAGATTCCAGTGATTCTTGGGGAGACATCTGAAGGGTCCATCCCTGGAGCTCTGAATTGAGGTTCCCTGTGACCTTATCCAATGTGCCAATGTCAGGTTTCTGCATTGAGGCGTCAGCTCGGATGCTTCTGCAGAAATCCCACGAGCGTTGTCCTGACCTTTATGGACTTGCTTTCCCAAATCCTTGCCCCACAGTTCGGTGGGCTTCTGCATGTAAACAGAACTGTCTGTACAATGGGTTTCTGCCTATTTGTGGCACGTCAGATGCTAGGTTTGCTATGTTCTTTTTCTTCTGAAATTAAGCTGTTGTCTAGACTCGTGTGTTCTGTGATTCCAGGTACGATTTCTTTATCGTGAGTCAGTCTGTGAAAGACGGTACTGTCACTCCCACTCATTATAATGTCATCCACGATACGGTTCGCTTCACCCCAGATAGGATACAGCATCTCACTTACAGACTATGCCACATGTATTACAATTTGGCAGTAAGTATTTTTTTATATACATTTTCCTTTAAATCTCTAAGATTGCTCCATGTTGAATCTACACTTTGTGAACCTTTTGAATTGATACCTGTGAAAGGTTAAATTCAGACAAAGTTCAGAAAAAAATTTTTGTTGTTCTTTCTGCTAAAGGGTGTCATTCGAGTTCCTGCTCCTTGTCACTATGCCCACAAACTGGCTTACCTTGTGGGTCAGAGTATCCACCAAGAACCACACCATTCCCTGGCCAGCCGTCTCTTCTACCTGTGACTTTCAGAAGAAAGCCTGACGACATGTTGAAAACCAGCATTTGTTAGTTTTTTTTTTTTTTTCTTTTGAACCTGTACTTCTGAAATACTCTCCTGGATGTATAGTTTTAATACAAACACATATTTGGTGGGGGGAGAGTGAGCCGGGAGGGGCAGATAGAGTGAGAGGGGAGAGAGAATCCCAAGCAGGCTCTGCTCTCCTCAGAGTCCAATATGGGGCTTGATCTCATGACCCCATGATTACAGCCCCAAGCCTAAATTAAATGTTGGACGCTCACCTGGCTGAGCCACCCAGGTGCCCCAAGATGCATAGTTTTTTAAAAAAATATTTATTGGGGCGCCTGGTTGGCTCAGTGGGTTAAAGCCTCTGCCTTCGGCTTAGATCATGATCCCAGCATCCTGGAATCGAGCCTTGTATCGGGTTCTCTGCTTAGCAGGGAGCCTGCTTCCTCCTCTCTCTCTTTCTCTGCCTGCCGCTCTGCCTACTTGTGATCTCTGTCTGTCAAATAAATAAATCTTTAAATATTTTATTTATTTGACAGAGATCACAAGTAGGCAGAGCGGCAGGCAGAGAGAGAGGAAGGGAAGCAGGATCCCCGCTGAGCAGAGAGCCCGATGTGGGGCTCAATCCCAGGACCCCAAGATCATGACCTGAGCCAAAGGCAGAGGCTTAACTCACTGAGCCACCCAGGCACCCCCAGATGCATAGTTTTAAATTCTAATCATTTGGATGGGACATGGTGGTTCAGAGTGGTGTGCCCTTTTGGTGGTACAACCACTGGCTTAACCTGATCCTTCTATTTTCCAGATAGGGAAACAGACCACGAGGTTTGTGTCTTACAACTTACCTTTGAAATCAGTGACTTTATGATGGACCACGCCTGAACACTTGGCACTTCTGAGCAAGTGACACCACTCGTCATCGAGACTGGGCATTAGTCTCATGAAGTAGACTCTGCTTGGAAAAGGATATCTTTCTGAAACCTTTTATTTTTAAGGGACAGAAAAGCTCTAAAAATGTCAAAATTAAACGGGGATTTAATTGTCTTATTTAAAGTTGTGTAGGAAAGAAATAACCCATGTACATAGTATTGTTCACTCTTCCAATGGGTGGAAATTTGAATGTGACTTTGGTGGAGCTGTAAGAGTTGGAAGCTCTTGGAACATTGAAGTGTTTTTGTCACTTTTACCACAAAGAAGGGAAACCTAGATCTCGATTAGCACTTCCTTTTCATGCATTCTCTTGTGCATGTTCCAAGGGTGATGTTACTGTTAGCTGTACCATAATCAGAAGTCTTGAATAACTGGCTGAAATGAAGCTATTATGTTTTTTCTAAAAACATCTTTAAACTATCTTTAAACTATCTTTAAATAGATTCAGGAAACACGATGTAAAACTTTGTTTTCTTATACTCCTTTTCTTATACTCCTTTCTTATTCTATACAAAATAGAATTTTGATGAGTTGTAGGGAGTAGATTAGCTTCAGGCACACCAAAAAGGTTATGGTTAAAGACAATATAATTGCATTGGTTATAATTAATCAGTTTAGGTTTGCAATTTGAACCAGTCTTATAAGAAATAAAATAAGTCATTTAAAAATATCTTGTACTCCAGTTAACATCTTACCTAGCAGGACTGCCCCTAATGATGAGTAGAATAGAAAGGATGGGTCCATCATTAAAGATAAATTAAGACAACATGTTCTTTTCTGATGCTAGAATTTGACTTCCAATACTACATTTCTAGAGATCTATTAAAAAATGGGAAGGAACAAACTTCCTAATAACAAAGTTATTAAAACTTTAAAACTTTCTGAACATTTCTCACACATGTAATCAAAATCATCTATAATCCTACAGAAAATCTTCTAGATTTATGTGTTTAAAATGATGTGATTCAATAAAGATTCATACTAAAATCATTGAATCAGTTCTTGTTATTTTATAAAACCTATTCAGGTCTTAGGTTTCTTAATCTACAGGCTAGAAAAAAATTGCTGCTTTTCTAAGATACATGGAAATATTTTTGTGACTCGGGAATTATCTGATTTTATTAGTCTACCTGTACTTTATAAATTAGGCAAAGGATGTTGGTTGTCAACATTTCTAGGAGAAAGCCCGACCTTCCCAAAGGCTTGTAAACCACCTTTCTGTCATGTATCACAGTACCAGATTTCACATTACTGGGTAGATGTTGAGGAACTAATTAAAGGTTTTTCAGGAATGGATTTGGCCTAAGTAGCAATGAAATACATAAGAAAAATGAACTTCCTGCCACTGGCAGCTGCGAATGAATATGTGTATCAAACCTCCCACTGGGCACAGCTCAGAGAGCAGGGCTAAAGGTCACAAAAGATCAGAAGGTCCGGCAAGGCTCAGAAGAACATAGCACCAATACCTTGCATAAGGGAACAGAGACTACCCTGTTTGTTGCAAGAGATGCCAGTTGCCGTTGGAAATCATTTTGTCATCCATCACTGTTAACTGTAGATTCTTTGTAAGTGTCCTTCATCGGGCTGATGATCTTCCTTCTTATCTTACTGAGGGTCCTGATCATGAATGGATGTTGAATTTTGCCAAATGCCTTTTCTGTATCTGTTGAAATGATGGTGATTCTTCCTCAGGCTGATGATGTGGGAATTCCTATATTCGTTTCCTATTGCTGCTGTAACTGATGACCGCAAACCTAGAGCCTTCAGACCTCACAAATGTAATATCTTAGTTGTGTAGGTTAGAGGTGTGGCATGGGCTAAAATAAACAGGTCAGCGGTGGGTTCCTTTCTGGAAGCATTGGGAGAGAAGGCAACTCCTTGCCTTTATCCAGCTTCTAGTGGAAGCTGGTCATGTTCCTTGCCCGTGGCCCCCTCCTCTTTCAAAGCCAGCAATGGCTGATTAACTCATTCCCCTATCCTTTCTAAGGCTGGCCCTTCTACCCTGGCTTCTACTTTTAATGATCCTTGTGGATGTTGGAACCACTTGGATAATCAGGATCATCTCCCTATTTTTTTTAGGTGATAGGCAACCTTAGTTCCATCCGCAATTTTCTTTCTTTTCTTTTTTCTTTCCTTTTTTCTTCTCTTTTAATCTTTTTTCTTCTCTTTTCCTCTTTTCTCTTCTAGAAAGGCAGACTGCCACACGAAGTGCCTCATTTGGTTGTGCCTGGAGTCTTGGAAGTTTGAATGCCTTGTGTTCTCCTACGAAGGGACCTTGAGATCTAGTTTGGACATTCTAGCAGGGGAATATAGCTATGTGTATACCCTTGATGGAGGAAAGGTCCTCTTCTATGTGGGAAGGTCATCCTCTGCCACCAAGCACACAACTTCAGGAGGGACCCACATGGAGCAGTAGGGAGGAAGCATCTAGCCAGCCAGATCAGCCAGATCAACCCTGGTGATCAAGGGGAATGATGGATGTCACAGCTAGACTGCTGGCATCCCCACCTGCAACTTTAATTACCCTTCACCATATAAGACCACATCTAGGCAGATTCCAAGGATTCGAACAGGATCATCTTCATGGGGGCAGGGGAGACATTGCTCTGTCTTAGAGACCCTGCCCTGGAGTGTCAGGAGCAAGGACAAATTTGAATGTAGAAACCCCCCACTCCACAGTTACTTAGGGAGAGAATAAGACAGACTCAGGGGAGGCCCCTGCTGGAGTCTCTTAAGAGCTCTTAAGCTCTTAAGCACCTGCACTGTGTCCTGTGCTCATCTCCCCATTGTCCTCCTCACTCTCTGCGCAGGTGACAGCTGACCTGCCCTGTGTGGAAGGTTTGTGGGGAACCCCTCAAATCCCTCAAAACCCCTGCTCCACTCTCTCACTCACCCAGCTCTCAGTTCTACCTGTCTCTCCCCCTTGCCAGGATCTTTGGTCCAGGCAGGGTTGACTCAGCCACTCTCGGTGTCCAAGAGCCCAGGACAGAGGGCCACCATATTGGCAACCAGGTCTCAGGGGGATTCTTGGGTTCCAGGTCAGGCAGCCTGGGCTCTCCATCTCCGGGCTGTAGCCTGGAGATGAGCCTAATTATGACCTCTCATTGGGGAACATCTTCTTGGTGCCTGTGTTGTGTTCTAGGCCAAGAGGGAAGTGGGAGAAAAATCTCTGGGCTGCCTGTACTTACTCCCTGCCCTTAGCCTTTCTCATCCCTGTTGCTCACTGGGAAAGTGGCTGCTGCTGAGTACTGGGGAAGTGTCCTGGGGATTCACACATGGCTGTCCTTTCTCTTCTAGTCCCCTGGAACTGGTGTTGCTGCATCCCACATTCTATGGTCCTGAGTATGGTCTGCTAACTCAGCAGTCCTCACCATCTGGGGCTCTGGCTCAGAAGATGACTCTGTCTGGCACCAGAAGTGTGGATTTTCACATTAGTTCCTGGAACCAGCTTCCTTCAAGGAAAAACCTCAGGGTCTCCCCCAACAAAACCTCTTGCTCCTCTGTCTCTGGATTTTTTATCTGCATGCCCAAACTATAGGCTCGATCAACCCCTGGGTCCAAGCTTAGGCTGAACGTAACTGGCTCGTTCCAAGCAGGGCTCGGGTCCACCAGGGTGGAACACCCATGAAACCTCCTGAGCACTCTCTAACTGTCCCTGAGGACCTCCATGTGCTGTCTGCACCCCCCACCCCTCTCAATCAGGGATGACACAGAGGGAGGAACCACAGGTTGAAGTGAAGGTCCACCCCCACTGCTGCCACAGTGGGAAGTGGGTTGCTTTGGCTGGTCTGTCACTGGCCTTTGTCCTTCCAGTGTTCTGAATCTGGAACAAGTGCTCTCTGAGCCCGGGCTCTCCCTGGGTCCCTCTCCAATGATCCACATAGAGGAAGAAGCTGTGCCATGGAGGACACTCCGCTGGGCTCCAGGCTTCGCTGTGGAGGGAACAGAGGCTGCAGCCTGAAGGGGAAGCTCACGGGCAGTAAGGAGTGCCCTGTGTGTGAGGAGGGGGCAGAGGAGGGGGCAGAGGAACGGAGCATGGGGTGCAGTTGTCTCTCTCCAGGGTCCCCTTTCTCTAAGTCACCCCCTGGTCCTCAGGCAGCAGTGGGTGTGGAGGACCTGCCCTGTTAACACCTGTAGGGCACAGCTACTGCTCATTCAGAGTCCTGGGCAGAGAGCACTGTCAGAGCTCAGGTGTGGGAAGAGATGGATCCCCCTCCCACACCGCTCTCCCACTGAGTGGAGCAAGTAGGAAGCAGAGCCCCGGGTGCGTGTCCATCACAGCCTAGACCCCTCCACTCCCCCTGCTCCCTCTCTGTTGTGATCTGCTATTAGCCATTTCCTTCTTATCTGGGGGGCATAACATGACAATAACTTCAGACTCACCATTCCCGTCTCTCTCCCTGTATTTCAGGGCCCTGAGCACAGTCAGCCATGTCTTGGGAATCTCAGTGTTGGGCTATCCTGGGCAGAGAGGTACCTGCCTTGCCCTGGGCAAGGCAACATCTTTGGACCATGAGGTTCAGGCTGCTATCAACTGTTCTTTGGTGTTGCCCACCACAGTGGGATGCCCAGAAGTTCTTGGCGCTCACCTCATTCCAATACTATGCTTGCAATTTCAATTTGTTGTGGAGTGAACCATCTTATATTCAATGGAAAACTTTGGGTCTATTTAGAATGACCTGTTCATTGAATAGGTGTAAGAAGTGACATTCTAAGTTCCTGTGTGAGTTCTGTTCCTTGGGAAGCTGTCTTGATGACTCATCCCAGGTCTTCAGTGACTATAGGATTAGCCATGCTTTTCTGCCTGGCTTTGGACAGGCAACTTAACCCCTCTGCAAGCAGGCTGCTTGCCGAGGTGACTAAGCTCCCTTTACAAGTTTGAACTAAATGGACAAAGTCCAGTTAAGTGCTTGGGGCATGTCGAGGAGCGTGGAGCAGGTGGGGGGGGGGTGTCTTTGGAAGGACCTGAGAGACTGTGCAATGAACAACGTGCCAGGAGGGCCAGTGACATGGCAGTGCCACTGTGTATCCCACATCCCCTAGATTCTGCTAGAAACATCCAGCCCATAGACATCTGTGAGTTAAGAAAAAGTGGCAGGCACACAACACAGAATCAAGAAAAGAATGCCCATGACAGAGGTTGACTGGGGTTGGCTGTGACAATGCGGGCAACTGCTGTGATGAGAGTGGCCACAGCAAGGACCTCAGAGCTGCACAGAGGCTCATGCTTGCTGAGTGAGGAGGTTCGCCCAGAGGACATGACCCAGTAACGTGGGGTCAGGCCACCATCAGGCTGCCAGGCAACATTAGTGACAAGTAACACAATAAACACATTCCAAGGATCTTATGTGAATA